AGTGAAAATAGCTGAAAAATTCAAGTTTTGAGGCTAGAAATCATAAAAAAGTTCATAAAAATATATTTTTCCAGGACAAATGCGACAAAACGGTTGACAAGTACATCGAGCAGGATGTGGTGCTTGTTGTTATCGATTTGATGCTACAGTACGTTCAAGCCTATCGTCATCTCCTTCTGAACGTCAGAATTCAACGCCCGGAGCGTCTTTTTGTGATGTTTTGGCTGAGCCACGCGGCAGAAGTTTGGATTCGAGAGCGTGAGAATCGAGAGGAGCAGACGACGATGCTAGCTGATCAGGAATGGATGTAAGGAACCGAAAATTCTGAAAAAAAAATTTTTTTTTCAAAAATTGCCATTTTCAACCTAAAAAATCGATCTTTATGCTGAAAAATTCAAATTTCCCGCTTCAGGTTCTACCGGTGCCTTCTCCTTTCCGCCGTCGAAATCAGCTCCTTCGTTTTTGTAATTTTACTATTTTGGAAGCTGAAAAAAGACGAAACAGTTCATACGTGGCGACAAATGATCAGCTTGACAATGTTGGGATATTATGGTGAGCAATGGATGGGAATTCTGAAATTCTGACAGAAAAATCAAATATTTTGAGCCATTTTTGGCCGAAACTCAACGATTTTGAGTGAAAAAATACTGAAAAAAAAGCCAATTTTTACTTTCGAAATTTTGAATTTCTGTGCAAACACCAAACGTTAAATTTTACGACAAATTGCAGAAAAGTCGATTTTTCGATCGAAAATTGCCCATTTTTCCTGAAATAATTAGAATAGTATCCATAGTACCCATAGTCTTTATAGTAACCATAGTACCCATAGTACCCATAGAACCCATAGTATCCATAGAACCCATAGAACCCATAGTACTCATAGTAGCCACTCAATGACCCATAGTATCCATAGAACCCGCAGTACCCATAGTACCCATAGTACCCATAGTACCCATAGTACCCATAGTACCCAAAGTACCCATAGTATCCATGGTATCCATAGTACCCATAATACCCATGGTATCCATAGTACCCATAGTATCCATAGAACACGTAGTACCCATAGTACCTATAGTACCCACATTGCCCATAGAACCCATAGAACCCATGGTCCCTATGGTACCCATAGTCTTTATAGTACCCATAGTACCCAAAGTACCCATAGTACCCAAAGTACCCATAGTACCCGTAGAGCCCATAGTACCCATAGAACCCATAGAACCCTTAGAACCCATAGAACCCATAGAACCCATAGAACCCATAGAACCCATAGAACCCATAATCCCTATAGTTAGCATAGTACCCATAGTATCCATGGTATCCATAGTACCCATAGAACCCATAGAACCCATAGTACTCATAGTACCCATAGAACCCATAATACCCATAGTACAAAAATCAGAATTTCCAAAAAAAAAGTCCCCAAAATCTAGGAATTCCAAAAACTTCCAGGAAATTTTTTAAAAGAATTTTTTACTTCATTTTGGCTCAAAATTTATCATTAAAAGAGCAATTTTTCCAGGAAACGTCGCCGTGGTGCTCTCGTTCATCTTCCGCCTCTCCCATCGTCTCTCCTATCAAATCGTCATGCAAATCTTCCTTCTTGTCTCCCATATCCAAGTTCAACGTGTCCTATTTCCTACCGTATCCGATTCAAATAATATCATCGTTGTTCTGGTGGCGAAAACGTTCTCAACGATTACCGGTGCACTTTTCACTCAGGCGGTTAATGATAGCTTTATGTGATCTTGATTTTTTTTTCTCTTTTATTGATCTATTTATTTATAACGCATGACATGTAATAAAAGTTGTGATTTTTATTTTAAAAAAATGGAGAATTGGTAATTTGTGTGCAAACACCAAACATCACATCTTACGACAAATTTCAGAAAAGTCGATTTTTCGATCGAAAATTGCCCATTTTCCTAAAATAATTAGGATTTGGAAGGAAAAAAAAAATAAATTTAGAGAACCCATAGTACCCATAGAATCCATAGTAGCCATAGTACCCAAGGGACCTATAGTACCCATAGTACCCATAGTACTCATAGTACCCATGGTACCCATAAGACCTGTAGTACCCATTATCTCCATGATCCCATGACTCACCAATCAAGCTGATACCCATAGTACCCATAGCACCCGTAGAGCCCATAATAACCATAGTACCCATTGCACCCAAAGTACCCATAGTACTCATAGTACCCATTGTACCTATAGTACCCATAATAACCATGAATTTCTGAATTTCTGAATTTCTGAATTTCTGAATTTCTGAATTTCTGAATTTCTGAATTTCAGACATTTCTGAATTTCTGAATTTCTGAATTTCTGAATTTCAGACATTTCCGATTTTTTGAACTTTCGAATTTCCGAATTTCTGAATTCGTGAATTCGTGAATTTCTGAATTTCTGAATTTCTGAATTTCTGAATTTCTGAATTTTTGAATTTCTGAATTTCTGAATTTCTGAATTTCTGAATTTCTGAATTTCTGAATTTCAGACATTTCTGAATTTCTGAATTTCTGAATTTCTGAATTTCTGAATTTCTGAATTTCTGAATTTCTGAATTTCTGAATTTCTGAATTTCAGACATTTCTGAATTTCTGAATTTCTGAATTTCTGAATTTCAGACATTTCTGAATTTCTGAATTTC